TTAATGAAATAGATTCATGTAAAAAAGTTAATAAAGTAAATCGAGATTAATGCACTACTTTCATTATGATCCATGATGCATTGTATCTGAAGTTGATCCGTTCAGTTGTTAGAATGGTCATGAAACGGGTGCATAATGAGTTTTGTTCTTTTTGAAATATACGTATCATGAAATGGGTGCATAATGGAATAGATTAATGTAAAATAGTTAATGAAATAGTTTCATGTAAAATATGTAATGAAAAAGATTCATGTAAAAAATTTAATAAAATAGATAATGAAATAGCTTCATAGCTAATGAAATAATTCATAATAGATTTTGTTCGTTATGAAATTAATCTGCATGTAAGAATTTGAAGGTGAAAAGGTTTCATTGCATGTAGCTAATGAAAAGGTTTCATTCATAACATGTAGTATGCATAAAGTGTCATGAAACAATTGCATTAACATGTATAAAAAAGTCTGGAATAAGGAAACAAACAATTGTATAATTAAACATTTCCATAGTGAAATAAACTGAATTTTTATTTCAATAAACATTTCCATAGTATGAATGTTAATGATTGTTTACCGTTCTACCCTTATTGATGAAATAAACTGAATTTTTATTTTTTATTTTTTTTAATTTCCATAAATAAAGCATACAAATCTTGACCATTGATCAAGAAAATGGATGGTTGAGATTGGTTTACACGGTTTACACAAATGAAGAGGGTTTTCATTTGAACGCTCCTCTATATATATATATATATATATATATATATATTTAGCCCTTCAAAAATAACCATAACAGCTCCGCTACCCTTCTAGAAACTTGACAGCTCCAAATAACCCTTCTTGAATAGCAACTTTACAAAATTAACCCCTTTAAACAAAATCCTGAAATATAACACCAAAACTCGTATAAATGACAAGATTGGATAAGAAATCTACTATATTTAACATCTCCCTCAATCTTGACATTTAAATAAGTCAATCATCTTTAACTTTGAACATAAGTAATTATGTTGATTTATACCAAGAGATTTCATGAAAATATCAGCAGATTGTTCAAAAGAGAATATTTTTACAACTTTTATCATACCTGAATTAACCTTTCACGACCTTGATGAATATCAATTTCTATATGTTTAGTGCGCTCATGAAACACAAGATTATAAGCAATTTCTATTGCAGACTTGTTGTCACAATATAGATTTATAGGAAGTAAATCTTGAATTCTCAAATCTGTTAAAAGTTTAAGAACCCAAATTATTTCACAGATGACAAAAGCCGTTCCTCTATATTTAGATTCAGCAGAAGAGCGAACAACAATATTTTGTTTCTTACTTTTCCAAGAAAAACCATAGAACTTCCAAGGAACAAAAAGTAACTGGTAACAAATTGTCTAGAAGGCAGACATTTATGCTAATCAGCATCAACAAAAACAGATAAGTGAATTTTTTTTGACCTTGTAAAGCTAACACCCTTTCATGGTGAAGACTTAAGTATCTGAGCACCGTTAATACCAATTTAAGATGGGATTGACGAGGTGAATACATATATTGACTTAAACAATGAACTGCAAAAGTTATGTCAAGTCTAGTTGTAAGAAGATATATTAACCTACCAATTAATTTTTGATATCTAGTATAATCATGTAAAGAATGATCATTAGAAACAGTTCCAACTGAATAAGTAACAGTAAGATTCATATCCATAGGAGTGTTGACAGGTTTGCATCCAAGATATTCAAAGTCATTTAGAAGTTCTAAACAATATTTTCTTTGAGACATACATATACCATTATCAAAATCAAGAACTTTAATTCCTAAGAAATTTTTTAATTTTTGAAGATCCTTTATTAGAAAATTAGCCTTTAAATAATTTTGACTTTATCAATTTCCAACAAATTGTTCCCAGTTAAAACAATATCATCAACATATGTCAAAAGAATAAAACCCACATTCACCATATTTGGTAAACAAGAATAGTTATTTATACTTTGAGTAAAACCATTAGAGACAAGACATGATGACAACTTTGCATACCATTGATATGGTGCTTGTTTTAGATCGTAAAGGGACTTTACAAGTTAACAAACTCTTTTATCATCAGAATTAAAATATCTTTCAGGTAAGATTATATAAACATCTTCAGATAAATCACCATACAAGAAATCATTATTAACATCTAATTGGAATAATGACCAACTATATTGAACTGCAAGTGCTATAATGCACATAACAGTGACCATTTTTACAACATGAGAGAATGTTTCTTCATAATCAAGCCCCTTTCTCTGACTGTACCCTTTGGCAACATGAGAGAATGTTTCTTCATAATCAAGCCCCTTTCTCTGATTGTACCCTTTGGCAACAAGGCGAGCTTTATACCTTTCTATTTATCCAGAGAACTTATGTTTAATTTTATAAATCCATTTACATCCTATAGGTTTTCTTCCTATAGGTAAACAATAATAATCCACGTCTCATTTCTATAAAGAGCTTCCATTTCATCATTCATAGCCATTATCCAGTTCTTATTATTACAGGGTTCTGAGAAAGTCTTTGGTTCAATGGATTTATTTAAATTTGATGTAAGACAGAAGTTTTTAGAATTCAAATACGAGTAATTCACAACTCTTTCTAACCCATATTTAACTTTCCATTCTATAACAAAATCATCAAATTTATGAGGAAAATTTGAAGCTTTAGTCATTCTTCTAACGGATTTAGATGTCTCTTAATCATTGGAGCTGGTGAAAGGACCCTCATGGTGGAGACCAGAATTTTCAGCATTATCAAAACCTTGGTGAGCATCCAAAGATTGCACCCCAGGTTCAATATCATTTCTGGCAGCTACCTCTGAGCTGCTCAGTGGTTGCAAACTGGCAGCTCCTTCAGTATTTATAGGTTGAAGAGTATTTATGCTACCTAGTTGTTGCCTTGAGTGTGTGTGGCACTTGTTTATTTTCCAACAAGAGATGAATACGACTTACTTGTTGCTATATGTCGATGATATTTTTCTTACAACCTTTACAACTACATTCTTGCAATACTTTGCTTACCGATCTTGGGGTACTACATAAATTTCTCGACATCATGATTTGTCATGATGTGTCGTGTCTATTTCTTACTCAACATCAATGTGCCAAGGACATATTCACTCAAGCATCCATGACATCTTGCATCTCGACCACCACCTCGATGGACACTTCTACCAAGTTTAGTACCTCAAATGGACCACTAATGGTAGAATCGATTCTCTATCGAAGCCTTTCAGGGGCACTTCAATACCTCTCCATTACTTAATCGAATATTACCTACACCATATATGTAACACCCAAAAATCTAGAAAGAACGGCTAATTTAAAATTTTCAATAAAAATTAAATAAAGGATAAATCCATTTCTATAAATCAATACTTGAATTTAAATAGAAAATTTAGATTTAATATCAACAATTCATAAACCATGTCTTACATAAAGACTAGGTCAAGATTGGGTGTTACTAAAACCCAATAACAATCGTCATCTCCAAATACGGTAGACGTCACCGAATAGTTATATAGATCTTTCTTGTGTCTTTATCTAGCACTCAATCCATCATAGTGTCGCTAGTACCAAACCCCAACAAGGACCTAATGCACATGTTGACAAATAAAAATGAGTTACGATTAACGACTAGTGAGTTCAAACAGTTTTTATCTTCAATATAAAAACGGTAGCACTGAAAAGATGTGATTTAAATCACAATTTCCGAAATGAAATGTATTTAGTATAAAAACAACATCTTTTTCAAAACCATCATTTTCATGATGAAAACTCGGTGGCCAAAGTACCCATTTTAACATGAAGTCAAAACCCAATACTCACCCAAAACACGAATAAGATTTAAGATTCAAATACTGAAAACATAGATAAAAACTTTATCATTCAAGACATTCAAAGAACATGAAAACGATTCAATATCCAAAGCAACAAACATGGATAAATTCCAGATACCAAGACTACAAGTATAGATACAGTTTATGATCTAGCTTCATCACTTGATGTCAAATCAAACGGTTTAGTTTTTTTAAACCACATTCGTGGTTGGATTATACAACCAAACCAAGACCGAATCACAAATACCCTTATAATACCTTAATCATAACGATCATGTGTCTAAAATTAGAGGTTGTTTGGCAGTTGCAGAATGATTAAGTGGTCAGAATGATTAAGAGACTCGCATGATATAGTGCAAAATGAAATATAATTGTTTGGTAATTGTTTACAATGAAATCAGGACACTTAATGGTTAAGGGAGGCTCAAGATACAAAATTATTTAGAGAGTTTTAGAACCATTAAGAGGCAGACTTTTTTTTTCCAAACAAAATTCATCTCTTAATGATTCAAATGATACTTCTTAATGGAACTATTAAAAGATATCTTAATGATTCAAATACTGTTTTTTATTAGAACTATTAAGAAGTAAACAAATGACCTCTTGTAAGATCAAATGTCAATCACGATTGGATCATGGTTATCAAGTGGCTTAACCTTTTCATGATCGGATGACAATTAAGGGTCAAAAACAACCTTTTTTTTTTAAAACATGGAGGCAGGGATAGACTTGGGCCCCAGTTCTTGCCTCGTACAAACCCTACTTTCGTTTCCAAATCATTCACACACACACTCTCTCTCTCTCTATATATATGTATATATTATATATACGTATATAGAGTATATATATATATATATATATATGATATTATAATGAGAATGGGGAAGTGGAGCACATGAAGGGATAGCAAAAACTAAATCATGTTTCACACTTTGAGAATGGAAAGCGATAGCATTTGTGTCTTTTTTGATAATAAAAAAATGGATGGTAGGATGGATGGATGTTGCCACGTGTTGTATATTTGTGTGGAGTTTTGTAATATATAAACACAAACCCTTCTTCCCTCTCTCCACCATTATAATCTCATCTCTCTCTCTCTCTCTCTCTCTAGACTTATTGTAATTTGAAGTGGCAAATTATAGATAAGAGGAAAGGGGATATTCTTTCCATAAATGGAAACCAATAAACAGCCAAAACAAGGCGGAGCCACGGTGGTCACCACCGCTAAACCATCAAGATTTCACCGGATCTGTGTCTTCTGTGGAAGTAGCTCCGGCAAGAACCCTAGTTACCGCCTTGCCGCCGTCCAACTCGGCAACCAATTGGTACTAATCCTCTTCTCTCTCTCTCCCCCCTCTCTCTCTCTCTCTCTATATATATATAAGTATAATAGTTACATAGAGGTGGGTTATTATACAACTATTTACATTTGTATAACCAATACAAACCAATCTCAACCGTCCATATAATTTGATGAATATGTAATTTCATAGAAGTTTTGATTATTTCTTAATATAAAGTATTGATAATAATTAATGAATCTTATTCATCTTCCATAAATATTTAAATCACAATAAATGAACTCTTATCATTTCCATAAATATTTTAATTTATTGAGTTGTATTGGTTGTACAAATATGATGGATTGCATTTGAAACAAACTCTAGTTATATATATATATATATATATAGAGAGAGAGAGAGAGAGAGAGAGAGAGAGGTGTTGGTTATTATACAACCTTTTACATTTATAAAACCAATACAACTCAATCTCAACCGTCCATTTAATTTGATGAATATGTGATTTTATAGAAATTTTGATTGTTTTCTAATATAAAGTATTAATCATAAATAATGAACCATATTTATCTTCTATAAATATTCAAATCATAATAAATAAACTCTTATCATTTCCATAAATATCTCAATTAATTAGGTTGAATTGGTTGTACAACCAATACAATCCAATCTTAACCGTCCATTTAATTTGATGAATATGTAATTATATATATATATATATATGTTAATTATTATACAACCCTTTACATTTGTACAACCAATACAACTCAATCTTAACCGTCTATTTAATTTGATGAATATGTGATTTCATAGAAGTTTTGTTTATTTCCTAATATAAAGTATTGATCATAATTAAAGAACCTTATTCATCTTACATAAATATTCAAATCATAATAAATAAACTCTCATCGTTACTATAAATATCTCAATTAATTGGGTTGCATTGGTTGTACAAATATACATGATTGTATTTGAAATATACCCTATATATATACACACTTTTATTTATACAAATATGTATTAATACTGAGTCTTGAACCTATAATTTGGGGTTAAAAACCATAGAATCCGTTGGTTGAATGACCTTCTAAATGCCACTAAACTATGATAAGGTTACTTACATATGTTCAGTTAGGTTCATACGAGAATAATAATAAAATAAAAGAACACGAAAATGACTGAATTACATGTGATTCATGTGACTTTGGCTATGACTTGAGGTTACGGGTCGGAACGTCCACTCACGTTTACATTAACTGTATTCTGTAATCGTATTAAAATCACATACGAATTAGTTTTATTCTCTTTATTTTGACCATGTTCCTTTTATCGTCCCTAATTATTAATAAAAATCTCATTTAAGGTCAATGACGACCTAAATAGTCCACGGATCGATGGGTCGTCTTCAATTTAATGTGTATTGCGAGATTTGAAACTTTTGTGACGGATGAATCCGTCACTAAATTAAAAGAGTTATCGGTGATTTTTAACGACGAAAAACAGTAGCAATGCAATTGGAGTACATGCAGTCCTTTTGAAACCCATGCAAACGGACAAAAGTATCTATTTTATTTCGTTTTGTACTTTTCAATTGATATTATTTATTAAAAAATTTATTAAAATTTCAAAAATAAAACTTCATATATATGTATATATACTATATTATAAAACATTTGACTAAAACTCTTAAAAACTCTTAAACTCTTAAAACTCTTAAACTCTTAAAAACTCTTAAACTCTTAAAAACTCTTAAACCCGTTCATCCCTATCCGATTTCATCCCATATCTGAATTCGTGTAACTAACTGCAAATAAACACAATCAAATACAGGATAAAC